GATTTTGCAAAGGTTCCTGCTGGCATACCGAGCGACGCCAAACCCCAACTCACCTGATGGATTGTCACTAACAGAGACACTGCTCCGAAGGAGGCTCCGAACACCGCATGACACTATCCGGCCACAAACAAAGCAGGCTGGTCACCGCAACACCAGAATGGAGGAACAATTCAACCGGCATCATGGAGCAGCTGCGCGCGCATTCAGCGAAAGCCAGAGAATGTTGGTTCGTGAATAGAGCGGCAGACACCCTACGTGGACCCCAGGGCACATCCTTCTCCGGCGCGGCAAAGTGCTCTACGAGATTCAAGTTGGTCCAGCCAAGTGGATACGCCACGCGAACCAAATCCGACCGACAGATGCGCAGACCCTGCCCACAGGACCAAGTGATATGAGTCTAGAAATGCTTCTGGACACTTTTGATCTCGGCACCGTCCCAGAAATAGTTGCTTCGTCAGGGGCCCAGCCTGAGCACGGATTACAACCGCGACGCTGGACAGACAGGATCTGCAAGCCAGTGAGGCCACTGCAAGTGAACCCCAGGCTTCAAAGCTAAGTCAACAAACTTCAAGGGGGAGGTGTTAGGTAGGAATCTACACGGATCCCACTATACCGCACGTCTTTAGGCGCTGCTACGGCCGAGAAGCCTGGCCCGCTCGAGGTTGGCCCAGAATTCGGGACGATTGCCGGTCCGGCATCAAGACGAGATCTGATTGGTAAACAATCTGGACCCAACAGCCAATCATGACCCAGTATTGGCCAAATGCCGGCTGCCAATGCCGCATCCAGAACGCGTCAGAACTTCTAGAAGGCTATAACCACTTACGCTATATATGCGAAGCGCTGTACAACTGTTCTTGACTTCGTTTTGGGCGTTAATAGACCTTGTGCACCTTTGGTGGTTGTTTTGACGTGAGCACTAGCTTGGGAGGCTCAGACCGAGAACTAAGCTGAGGAAAATACCGTTACTACATGCACTGACCAAAGTTGTGTTGCCATGTAAGCCGTCAGACCATGAAGAAATATTTCCCATAAAATATTAATCTAGACAGCTGATTGCGGTTACCCATCACATGCCTCGTTTGCTTACCTCTGGGGAAGATACATAATACCGCTGGCTTTTAATTAATGAGCCAGGCGATTCGCTTACTCCTTACGTGGGAGGTGAAAGATACGGGACAATGGGCAACGTTACCGAAATGTACGTTTCAGTCATCAGGCGGACATTTTTTACGCATTAACCATAAGAAATGTTGCATACGCGACGAGGTGCATGCCATACCGAATACACATTTGTAGGAGACATTCTGTAAAAGGGGGCAATTAAAACTTCAAAAACGGAGCTTTAAACGATGTTGCACGAGCATGAGTTCTCAACTGCCATTCAATCGGGGCGACCAGTTGTTGGATGACAAAACGCTCCTTCCGTGAAAATGACGCAGATATGCAACGTCAAGTGCACCGAAGAAGCGATTGTGACCCTAAGTGCAGACTTTCGTGTGCATGTTGAAGCAAAAACGCGCTGCTTGATCATCTCACCATAAAACTAATGAAATACAAGTTCCACTTTGTAGTGAGTTACCACTGAGTTTTCACTCTTTAAATGCCCAACTACGCTTTTAAAAATCGTAATGAATAGTCAAACAAATATATGCCACAGCATTACTGCTGCTCACTAAAATTAGGCCTATGTGAATCAGAACCACCTGGCTTGTGCTTGAACTCAATTCAAATATCCGTGCTTTCTGGGCTATCCGCAACAAACCAATCAAAATGCTGGCTCGTGCATGAATCGCGTGCCCCCTGACAGTCACGGCAACCAGTACAACCATGAATCCCCCCGAAATGACATTGAGTTCATTGAAACGAGTCTCATCAAAATCGTTACTGTCCGGGAGAGATTTTAATGTTCAGAATAAGTGTCGTAAAATGCTAGATTTCTATGGAAACATTACTCCTCTTTCAACCTATGATTTCAGAGGGATTTGCCATGTTCCTCTACCACTTGGCAATTCGTTGTGTGAGCTGCATTATTTTTTAGGTCGTTAGAAGTTTACTGTAACCCACCATTTATAATCATTCTATTAGGAGATGTGAACTTTTGGCTGTTCGAATGGTGACAACCTTTTTTCGGCAGATCAGGGCACCACGACCAGCGAGGTTCTGAAGGACACCCTCCATCGATACATGTAATTAAACCGTAACTAACGGAGTGCTCGGTCGCGACATGTGCATTACGTGGCTTCCAACCCATGTCTCATAGAACACATGAACTCTGCGTCTTCGGACGACTTCAGGCATTCAGTTACAATTTCAGCTACGAGGGTTGAATATACAGACCTTGCCAATTGAGTAGCTAAACCATGGACAATGGCGTTGGAGTGTGCATCGATTGAAGGCCCTGGAATAAGAGGGCGTCTATTTTTGTTATACGAACTAAGCCGTGCCAGGGGAAATGATACAAGGCAAGTTAAATGTCATTGCGTCCATTTATTCTCACGTTCACCCCTTGTCTCTCTTAGTAGCGTGACACGCTTATATTAAATTCCGGTTCGAGATTCCAGGCGTCTCACATGCGTAGGGTATCAAATAAATGGCCGGTCAAACTGTCCTCTCTTGGAGTTCTGCTGGAAGTTTTTCACAAACGCTTACGCCTAGACCACTTACAGAATTTACAATGCATAACGAAGCAGAGAATAATGTAGCGAGCAAGGACCTAAGTACGTGTGTTCAATAAAATATACAATCAAAATATCAGATTAGAAATAACAAATGGCAATAAGAAATGGACGAGTGAATGTAACAGACTCATTAAATTGAGGGTCCAATAATCCCACTACACTAAATGTTGTGCAGTAATCGTATTCGGCGGCGAAGAATATATCCAGAGTAAGAAGGATATTCCCCACTGATAGCGCGAGTGTTAGAAGTAAATTCTACGGTAGAAAGTTATCATAGCTGAAAATTGTCACAAGGAGTTTGTAAGATCCGGACGGCTAAGGATCTCACAGGACGATTGCGACTATTAGATTATACGCAGTTCGTAGCCAGTAGTCAATAGGAGCAGACAGACGTGGGGCAGTAGATGATATATTGAAGACTGACAGGAACTGGTTCTACAGAAAAACGAATTAGTAAGCATCATGAATTAAGAAAACGTACAATCAACAATGACGCAATCTGTAGGAGCGGGAAGCAGTCACTGTCACAGCACGGATTTCTGTAGGGGCAACAAGAAGTAAGTACCAAACGATGTGCAAACATACATATCGGGGCAGTCTGACAGTATGAGTTGGCCGTAACGGC